TCCCAATTTAGGATCCAGTCATAGCATAGCCCCCATTCAATTTGGAACACCTGCAACAGGAGTAGCAGTAAAATGTCTAAGGAGTGTACAGTGGCACTGGGATCTCTGATTTCCAGGGTAATTACACAGGGTAATTTCCAGGGTAATTACACAGAACCACATAGATCCATGGAACAAGACCATCAGCTTTGAACCAAGGTCTGTAATCCTTCTGCCATGGGGTGGGTCAGAGTAGCTTATGCAAAAATGTAGTTTATGCTTTTCCTGTGGAACCATTTCTGTGCATTAAAACAATGGATCGTTTTACATTAGACAGCAGAAATCTGTTCAGCTGACAATGCTATTTGTTAAAAAGGAGTTTCTTTTTGTAGAGGAAAGTAATATGTGGATTTCCATTTTGAGAATGCCTATAAAGTGACCTGTGAGCTTTGTATTGGATATTGATAGGATTGAGTTTTGAAGGTTTTTAATTTTTTTGCTTTCTAAAAATGGAAAACCAGATTTTATTGTCTCTGTTTTATTACTTTATCTGTGCTTAGTAAGCCCAGGTGGCCATCAAGGTGTAAACTAAAGAACCTAATTTGATATGCTGAACACTCTTTCATAACATCTTATCACAGCATACAAACATCACAATTTCATGTTGTCATTCCACACCCTTTTTTCACCCTGCCTGCTTTTTTCAGTATCTTTGCCAGATGAAGAAACCTGTGTTTTTAAAAGTGTGCATAGAGAGTTTTATGGCTTTTAAATAAACTATCATATAAAAGCACTACCCACATTATGGATTTTGGAATTTTCTTATGACCAACAGGGGTATACCCAGTGGCATCACTATGGTTGGTGTCACCTAGTATGGTAACTCATTGTGTTTCCCCCTTCTACACTACTGACTTCCTCCCATACCATAACATACAATCTTTACTAATTTCTTTTGTACTAATGTCACTTATAAATAGTAATTCTCATATATTACTGAATAATGGTAATAGTTGTGGTATAAAATGACTAGTTGTGCCATAAACAACTAGCAAAATTAAAACTGTATCTTTAAATTATAATATCATAAGCACAGCCTAAATGTATTTACATGTACATAGCATGTGGCTGAAGTGAAAATTTGGTAAGGTGTGATGTTTTTAAAGAAATTTTAAAAAGAATTAATAATAATAATTTTAATTATTTAAAATAATAAATTATAATGTATTTAAAAAAAACAAAACCTGGGGTTTCTTTCTCCTCTCACTGCGCCTCACTCCACTGACACCATCTCTTCCTTATTTAAAAGAGATGCAGGCAAATGCCACAGTATTTTTCTGTCAAAAGCCAGATCTTTGGGGAGCACTGGTGTCACCTCTCCCTAGGATGTCATCTGGTACCCCCACATCCACCCAGAGAAGCCTCTGGCTATATCCCTATATTTGTATTCTTTAAGAATGAGCCTTTTATAATATTACATCACTATTTCAATTCATAGAATCATAGAATCGAACACTATCTTAAATGTGAATCCAGTTTCCCAGCTTATTTGAGAAACTATGTACATCAACTTTCATCATTAGTTCCAAGGGAATTGTTTTCGATCAGCTAAACTGAGCTTCTGTGAAAAATGTCTCTTTGCATAGATGGCAGAATTTTGTTAAGTGTATGCCATAGCAATTCACAAAGGAGCCCTGCCTCCTGCAGAAATCATCTGTATGGTACTAAGGGATGTCATACACTTCCTCTTTCAAAGAGATTTGGATTTGCAGATACATTATGTTGTGGTTTGTGGTTGAGTATTGTGTGATATCTAATGATAATCTTGCACTTTAGGAAAGATAATTGATTATAACCATTGAAAGACTCATTGGTGAGGAAGTAATAGGATTTAACCACAACAGATGTTAATCACTAACCAGCTCAGATGAATATACAAAGGCTTCCCAGAAGTCACTAACATTTTTTTCTGGCAATACTTGTGACAAACTCTTCTGCAAACACAAGACAGGACAGTGTTGCTATTTTGCTAACTGGAGAGTCCACAAGGAGAAGCAGTAACCTTTCAGAAAGACATTTTTGCAGTCTCTACAAACAAGAGATACATAGTTGGAAAGAAAGCTTTGGGTCCAATTTACAGCTAACCACTAGTTGGACTTTAAGTCACTTGTAATCCTTTAGTGGTGAAAGGCTTTTAGATGAACCACTAGCTCCTAGATGATGGTGTAAACAGATATATAGGTATAGATATATATGATTTTCTGTGCCAGTCATATGTTTTCTGCAAATTCCTGCTGTTGCATTCTAGGTCTTGGTGTTTAAATAAATAAAGATTAGAACGCACTAGTGAAAACAGAGAAAAAACCATGGATGACAGAAAAAAATGCTACAAGCAATAAAGAAAAGAAGAGAAGAAAAACAAAGGGGAGATAGGAGCAAACTAAGAATTATGAATGCAACAGTACAACGGCTTGTGCGAAAAGATAAAGAAAATTACTACAGTGACCAGTGCAGAGAAATAGAAGACAATAACAAAAAGTGAAGGACTGGAATGCTCTATGACAATAAAAATAACATAATTCAAGACCAGGAAGGAATAAAAAGACATTGGATACAATACTCAGAAGAATTATACAAAAGATATGACAAAATGAAGAACACATGGAATGAAGAACCATATGAAGGTGAATCCCGAATTCGAAAAAACGAGGTGGAAACTGCAATAAGTGAAATAGTGAAAAACAAATCATCAGGAACAGACAATATTCCAGTTGAATTGCTGCAATCCACTATGACAGAGTCATCTTTAGTGCTGACAGACATATGTCAACAGGTATGGAAAACAAAATGATGACCAACAGATTGGAAGCAGTCAATATACATCTCCATCCACAAAAAGGGAGACACAAGAGACTGCAGCAACTATAGGACTTTAGCACTGATCTCCAGTGCAAGCAAAATTATGCTCAAAATTCTGCAACATAGACTCCAACCATACATGGAGAAAGAAATCGCAGAACTCCAAGTGGGGTTCAGGAAAGGAAGAGGCATGAGGGACCACATTGCGGGACCACATATGGTGGCTAATGGAGCGCACAAGGGAATTCCAAAAGAAAATCAGCATATGCTTTATAGACTATAGCAAACCCTTTGACTGCATATATCATGAAAGGCTATGGAATGACCTTAAAGACATGGGAGGACAACGCATCTGATAGTTCTGATGAGAAATCTGTACTCAGGACAAGAGGCTACTGTCAGAACATAACACAGAGAAACAGAGTGATTCCCAATTGGCAAAGGAATCCGACTAGGTTGCATACTTTCACTCTATCTGTTCACCTTGTATGCAGAACATATTATAAGAAAACCAGGCTTGGACACAAAAGAAGGAAGACTTAAAATAGAAGGAAGGAATATCAATAATCTAAGACAGGGGCCAGCAACCTACAGCCCCCGGGCCGGTTCCGGCCCAGGGCCCCACGCTTACCAGCCCAGGTGGACCCCTGCCGTCGCCACGCATTTTGGCCACTGTGTGGCCGCGCGTGCCACGACCACCATTTTGTTTTCCAAAATGGCGGCCACGACATGTGCGGAGATGGCTGCGGCAGTGTGTGTGCCCGCGGCGGCAGTGCACGCGGATGGGTGTTGCGCGTGCTCACATGAGCGTGCACGCCGCCATTCCCCCCCCCCCGGCCCACCGGAAGGGACGAGTTCAGGGGATCGGCCCCTGGCTCAAAAAGGTTGCCTACATCTGATCTAAGATAACACCGTAATATTACCAGAAAACCTCACAGACCTGGAACACCTACTAAAGAAGATCAAAGAAGAAAGTGCAAAGGCAGGCTTAATGTTGAATATAAAGAAAACAAAAATAATGACTACTGAGGACCTTCACAAGTTCAACCTAAACAATGAAGAAATAGAAATAATAAAAGAATTCTCATACCTGGGATCAAACATTGATAGAAATGGGGAGTGCAGTCAGGAAATCAGGTGAAGATTAAAAATGGGGAGGGTGGCTATCAAAGAACTTGAAAAGATTGTAAAATGCAAAGATATACAATTCAGTAGAAAAGTTAGGATTATACAAGCCATTATATTCCCTATTACCATGTATAGATGTGAGAGCTAGACAGATGATTAAGAAAGAAGATAGGATTGAGGAACCCATGGGCAGACAGCCAAGAAGACAAACAGATGGGTCCTGGAGCAGATCAAGCTGGATACCTCTCTGGAAGCCAAGAGACTGTCGTACTTTGGACACATCATGAGAAGATAAGACTCATTAGAAAAGACAATAATGCTGGGAAAGGTGTAGCGAAGTAGAAAGAGAGGAAGATGGGCGGACTCTATTAAGGAGGTCATGGGTATGGGTTTGCAGAATTTAAGCAGAGCAGTGGAGGACAGGGGGTCTTGGAGATGTCTCATCCATAGGGTCGCCATGGGTCGATACTGACTCAAGGGCAGTTAACAACAACAACAACACAAGTGACAACAGTTGCCATAATATGTCTGATCTCTATCTGTGGATGTGAAAACTGGAGAGTAAATAAAGCTGATAGGAAGAAAATTAAGGCATTTGAAATGCAGTGCTAGAGGTGAGTTCTACAGATAGCATGTACTGCCAAATAAAGAAATGAATTATTCTTAGGGCAAATCAGGTCTGAAGTTTCACTAGAAGCCAAAATGATTATACTTAGGCTGTTGTACTTTCAGCATATATGAGATGAAGTTATCCACTAGAAAACATTATAATAGTTGGCAAAGTGGAAGGCAGTAGGAAAAGAGGAAGACCATATTACAGGTAGAATGATTCAATTAAAGAAGCCACAGCCTTGAGTTTCCAATACCTGAGCAGAGCAGCTAATGACTGGGGATCCTGGAGGTTACTCATTCATAGGATCACCATAAATCAAAGTCAATTTGATGGCAAATAACAACAAAACAACAATAGATAAGAGAAAAGGGAAAGCACCATGGCTCCCTGTCCATTTTGTCTAACAAAGGTTTGTCTAAGAGCCAGTGTGGTGTAGTGGTTTGAACATTGGACTATGATTCTGGAGACCAGAGTTCAAATCACAGCTTGGCCATGGAAACCCTCTCAGTGTTCTTGGGCCAGCTACACTCATCCTGCCACAGAACACCCCATGATAGGTTCACCTTAGGTCAAGAACAACTTGAAGGCATACAACAGTGACAATGACAATGACAATAGCAAGATTCATTTAGTTGCCAATTTAGTTTCTCATTATTATTATACAAAAGAAAGAGGAAATAGGGCTCAGAACTTTCACTGCATGAAGCAAACTTCAGATCAGAGCATGGAAAAGTTACTTCTTTGGACTATAACTCCCAGAATTCCCCAACCAGCTATGGAGAGTTACTGTCCAAATAAAGCTTGGGTATTTTCTGATAAACAGGTATGGAGATCTCTTGCCAGACTTTGAGGCTATAACACTTTAGGAAAACCCACTGTGATGTCCCGTAAAGCTGGGTGAATGGGTTGTATAGAGACTTAGAGAAAATCCTTCTTTAAGCCTTCTGTAAACTATAATGAAGTATAATTTCTAAGTCCTGGAAATGCTTATAATAATAAATGTATGCAACATTGTGAATCTGTCTACTGTAGAATGGAAACTTCATAGCCAGCAGACAGCTGCAGTTTCATTGCAAAGAAGAAATATTTCAAATAAGGTCATATAATGAGGTTGAGTAAGGAGAACAGGATAGTTTGCACCAAGAAATCAGTTTTAAAGCATAATGCTAGCAATTTTATTGCTGCAGTGGTTGGTACCATCCTTGACACTTCTTTGGTACCACTGGACATAATAAAGTTATATTGCAATGCTGAACCAACAGCATTTTCAAGCTGAGGGTTGGGAAATGTATGGTCTTGTTGATATTGTTAAATTGCAGTTTCTATCAGCCTGAGCCAGCATAGCCAACAGTATATGGCTATGGCAGGTATAGTTGAACAACAAATGGAAAGCACATGGTCCCCACAATTGTATAAATTTTAAAATAAAATAAAATAATTATGCATTGTTTTTCCAGTGCTGCAGTGTATACTTACTTTGTTTTTTTATAAATGTGGCAAGATCAGTACTGTAGCCTTGGAGGAAAGCTAGTGCAACGTACAGGGTTTTGTTTTAATGAACAGTGATATCTTTTTCTGTGCCTTAAAAATCTACACCTTTATTTCTCCTTCATTGTTGATACACTTTATTTTGTCTGCAAACATTTAGAGATCTTGGCAGATGGATTATTTACCCCATAAACCATCTGTCCTATGAATACATACCTAAAGACTACTCAAATTGACAGTAAAATCTATAGGAAGTGACGCTGCAGAGCATAGCCTCTAAAACACTAGACTATATTTTCTTTTTTAAAGAGCAAATAGTAATGATTCCTTATTCTACATGGTATTTCACTTCACCTTGTAAAACACTTGTAAAAGAGACACACTGGACATATACATTAATTTATGTAAACTTAGCCCTGTTCAGGTAGCATAAAGATGCATGAGTATTACATATAAATCAACCTCATTTTTTCTTTAGTATTTGCAACCCAAAGCCCCACCCCATCTATCATCACTATGCCCAGGTAAACTGTATCCTCTCACCACCTCCCCTGTGCTTGTATTAATTATATTCCTGTTTTGGGTAAATCCTGAAAACTCAATGCAGCCAAAATCTTGATGTTGAGTGTCAGCTTGTTAGGTCAAAGTAAGTGTGTGTGTGTAGGATGCATGTAAAAATGAATACTGAAATATATTCTATTCTTTAATGAAAGCCTGTTAGCTTAAATGTGCTTTAGCTCACTGACAATAATGTATGATCTATGTGAGAAGGGCACATAATTCATCTGGTGATAACACAGATAATTCACTGCAAGTCAGACTATATTTAACCATCTAATCATAACCAAATCATGTACCATAATTGTACATTCAAGAAATGAAAACCATAAAAGCCTGAAATGACTAGACTAGCTTAGATTGTTGTGATGCCTTCCTACAGGTCCTAATTCTCTTATCTGGTACCTTTTTCCATCCAGAAATCCTTGATAGACACAAATGCCTTAAGGTGTTTTTTTTGTATGTGTAGTAAGGTTTTGGTTGTCTCATTAAATAACAGCAGCTGTAAGGAGACTAACCTGTATGTATATATAATGCATTTTATGAACCCAGATTGAAATGTGCTCATGGGAAACCAGTTCGAGTGCTTTGACCTTTCCTAGGAACAACTGATTTGCCACTTGTGACTAGATTTTATTATGAATAACAAGAACATTAGAAATGAGGATACTTTTTTGCCTCTTTATTGAAAGAGTGCAAAGTTCTTTGCAAAGAGACAAAGAGAAACATAGGGATAGTATTTTTTTAGAGGCCCAAACATATTGGGCAATATGTTCATTGTTGTTGTGGTGTGCCTTCAAGTCATTTCCAACTTGTAGTGACTCTAAGATGAACCTGTCACAGATTTTCTTGACAAGTTTTTTCAAAGGGCCATCCTCTGAGTCTGAGAGTGTGTGGCCTGCCCAGGGTCATCCAGTGCATTTCATGGCCAAATGGAGATTCAAACCTTTTTCTCCAGAGTCATAGTCTCATACTCAAACCATTACACCACCCTTAGACCCCTAAAATGCTAGAGATGCTTTTGATGGTGGTGGGCTGTTCCTCATTTGTTGTCTCCAAACAGATGCTGGCTAGCCATTTGAGAAGGAAACTTCAGCTGTGAATTTCCTGCATTGGCAGCGGGTTAAATTAGATTACCTTTGGGAGATACCTTCCATCTGTACTGTTCTGTGTTTCAAAAGTGCAAACGTTTGAGTTTTTCAGAACAATTTATCTGTATAAAATAATTAGGGGACGTGAGAATGAAAGCAAAAAATACTACACTTGGATCAAATGTTGTGGTGAAGGGGTGTGCGTTTAGACCTCCTCTTAGGGTGGAAATTGGACACTGAATGAATCACTGAATGAAGTTGTGCAGTCATCATTTTATACCTAGCAATGCATACAGGAACAAATAAGCAACAATCAATCAGTAGTGGGTAGCAGCTGCAGCAGATGGTTCCTGTGAGTACTTGCTCATTAGGAGCTGCTGAGTAATTAAGCGAGGGTCTTGCCATCTTGGTGCTTCCCTATTCTGCCTGCCTCAACTCAGCTGTTTCTTCTCCCATTGGCTGGATATTCAGTTAAGATTCCTGCTGCTGTCTGGGTGGGAGAAGATGTTACTGTTAGGACAATATTCACTCACCTCTTTTGTAGAGACAGCAGCACTTCCAGTTACAATCCCAGCATATTCTTTTACAGCATACTTGTTTGTTCTTTTCTTGTAAGAATGTTTCAGAGGTGATTATGTGGCCAGCAGTGACAATTGTTGGAATAAAATGTGTGACATTCATGAATCGATGTAGCTGTGTTTACTACAGTGAACATAATATCTGCATTTCTGGATTTGTAGCTCAACAGCTCGTGCCTCCTTTGTGCAAGCAGTATATTCATTCACTGTCCTCTGTGTTTGGGGAGACAATAGTCCCTGTTGAGTTAGTATGAATGGATAATCCAGTATATAGTTTTCCCTAACTGCAAAGGGTATAGTGGTTTGAGTGATGGATTATGATTCTGGAGACTAGGGTTCAATTCTGACTCAGCCATGAAACCCACAGGGTTGATTGTGAGCAAGTCACATGCTCTTGTCCTCAGGGAAAGGCAAACCTCCTCTGAACAAATCTTGCCAAGAACACCCTGTGATAGGTTTACCTTAGGGTCGCACTAAGTCAGAAATGACTTGAAGGCACACAAGAAGAAGAGGGAAGTAGGAGACAATCTTCAGCCATGGGTATATGAAGCTGTTACCCTCCTGTCCTCATCTGTGGAAGAGGGATGGAAAAGATGACAAAGGGTCTTTCTTTGAGGCAAGAATTTCCTCTGCTCAGTTCACATCTCTCTCTTCTTTTCCTTCCTATGTGAGATATTTTTGTCCTTGCAACTCCAGCTGCAATACCTATGGTTCCTGATGGGTACTTTTAATTGGAGTTCTAGGTTAGCACAGCTGAGTTATAAAAATAATTTACCTGTCCCTTTTGTACTTATTATTCTCTTGAGCTGTTTATGTAAAGTGCTTTTTCCTTACAAAATCTGAGATCCTTCATGCACATATAGTGTCACATGCACAGTTTTGCCATCTCACACCACTTGGCAGCTATCAAGACCTGGACTTGCTGCTGTTGCTACTTCCTAGAAGATGGATGGATGGATTATTCAGACCATGGAGAAGCAGCTGACCTCAGCATGGTTGGGGGTGCAGAGAAATGAGGGTGTGCCTCCAAGCAGAGTGACCTGCCTTTTCCTTCCACTAGGATCCCAGACCAGCCAGATCTTCATTGTCTAAATCACCTCCACCCTCCCGTCCCTTCCCTCTGGTATGAGGGAACAGTAGCACCCCTCTTGGGGCTTAACAGCTTCACCATGGGAGATGTTTTGACAGAGTACAAGGACAAGAGACTCATCCTCTGTGCCCATCCCAAAAGGAGTTATGTGTGGCTTATAGATACATGTAAGTTGGCCAAAGTTCCCTTTCACCAAGAAAAGGCATTTGCGTCTGCACAAAGGACACTGACTCAATTTTATGGATGAAACAATGGCCACAACTTTATTTGTACAGGGTCTGACATATTAATTCAATAGATACAACTCTTTGTTTATCCACAATTTAAATATTTAACAATAATTAATTTGACGCATGCCCAAATGTTCTGGGCGCAAGTG